AGTAGGTGAGTTACCTGCTCTGATTCCCACACTAAGTGTACAGTAGGTGAGTTACCTGCTCTGATTCCCACACTGTGTGTAGCAGGTGAGTTGCCTGCTCTGATTCCCACACTGTGTGTAGCGGGATGCTTTGCTCCTGTTCCTACCTGAATGAACTGTAGGGGTGAATGACGAATTTCTCCTGACCCTCAGCTCTGTTCTTCTCTTTTTTAACTGCTTCTTCGCTGCCAAAATACGATATGGTAGCTTTGTTCATCTCAGGCATTAAAAGGTAATTGGCCACCTTTTGTTTGGATTTTATTTTACTTTCATCTTTTATTGTCAGCGTAACATCGGCAGAAGCCTGGCCGGCCTGCGGCTCCAGAGCACCACCGGCCTTCGGCGTCTCACTTCGACGCTTTTCGGGTACCGCTTTTCCCTGCTTCTCCTTTGGGAGATCGGGTAGTTCCACAGTTTCTGTGTCGTCCTCCATGCTGTTCAAATGTCAGTTATACAGCTACCAAGCCCCACAAAAGACGGAGAATTTATAACAGTTTTACGAACTGTTTGACGAGGATCCAACGGTTGTCATGGTTACATCACCGGCGCCAGCGCCACTTCCCGCTCGTGGAGCTTTGGAATAGTTCGAGACCGAACAGCTCGCGGTCGCAGAGTTCGTGCTCTGTTTTTATCAAAATTATGCAATGCAGAATGTAATGGCTATAAATAACAACATATATAGTATTAGCATTATATGCATTTTCACAATGTTTTTTCTTCAATTTAATGCGAACAAGGCATACTTTTTTATAAAGACTTTTTCGTAACTTCTGCCAGTTGGGGATGATGGTGAACCGTTTTATATGAGCGTGGTGTAGAAATTCCGTTGAATAGTGAACGTGCTATTGCAAAGTACTCAATTTATTAGCGCTACAACCTGTGTTATTATTTCGGAGGGCTTTTGGTGCAAGATTAGCCAGCAGCTACTGTATATAACCCTGCAACTCACAACTGGTAGCCCGCTGAAGCTCAGCAGGTGTGAGCTTGGTCAGTACCCAGAAGGCAAACCTGGAAAAGCTAAGGCTGGTGCTGGAGGAGGTGCTAGTCAGTCGGACCAGAGATGTAAAACTGAGGTCCCGACTCTCTGTGGTCATTAAAAATCCCAGGGCGTTTCTCAAAAAGTGTATACATAATACATAGTACAGGCAAATGCTATAGGAAAACTAAAACTGCTAAAGACTTAAGGGCAAAAGTCCACCCTTCATCAGGACACTGATCCAAAGGCTAAAGCTACTGGACTGGAGTGGCGTGAGGAGAAAATGAATGTACTTGAGTGGTGCAGTCCTGACTTACTGGGAGTCTGTGGAAAGACTTGAAAACCGGTCCATAAGCGATCCCCAAGCCACTTCAGAGAGCTTGAGCAAGTCTGCCAAGAACAATGAGCAAAGATTGCCCCAAGTGGGTGTGAAAGAATCGGTAGAGACTTAACCAAAAAGACTTGTTGGCAGTAATTGACGCCCAAGGTGCGACAACCAAATACCAAATTCATGGAAGAGAATACTACTGTATTACCATCAAGATCATTTTTTTTCTTCATATTTTACTGACGTTTACTGGAAGTTCCCTCGCCCTTCGAGGTCTGCAGTTCAGGCATTGAGATCTTGAATAGAACGTGAAGTCTAAAAGACGTGTATGGCACTGCACAAATTCCTCACACGGGCTCTTAAAGACGTGGAATTGAAGAGGGCAGAGGAGGTGCTTTCATGTGCTTCCATCAGAGGTTTATTGTGACTGCAAGTCGAGGCATTGGATAGGGTTTATCTGATGGAAGCACAATGCGGCAGGACGTGCCTTTAGAGAGCTCCAGAGCTCCTGGCACGGGCTGCTCCCACCACAGAAGCACACCTGCGCGGCCAGACAGGAGCACACAGTGTGAGTCCTCAGGCATGGACTGGGTGGTCAATGAAGGATTGTCCTCTTTCATGGTCGTAAGTGTTGCCTTTGTTCTTGTTTTTAAAAAGTAAGAGTTCGGCGTTTTAAGAATGAACCCCAGCCTGAGTTTACATCAGCAATATTGCCCGTTTCTCTTTTCTGAGGCTTCTGAAGAAAGTCTTTTTTTTTTCGTTTACACAGTTGTAAGGCTCTCAAAACTGTACTGTGATGCTCTTGCTTCATTAATTACGAGATGTGCCTCCTGTTACACGAGCCAGCCTTCCTCTGTCAAGATCAAGAGCAAGCTAATAACAACCACTGTGTCATTAAGTGTCTCCCAGTGCTGTTAAGACCTGTGTTTTAAAAGAATAACACAGCAGTGCTGAATCTTCCTTTTGCTGGAGTTGCAGATAAGGATAGAAATGTGCAAGAATTTATTTGATAGTTAAGGGAAAATTTCACAAGTTGAGATGTCTTAATATTTAGGACTTTTTTCGTATTGTTACAATTTGTGAAAGTGATATGGTCAGTGGCTTTGGTTAAAGGAAAAATGTACCATCAGTACCTGGTACTGTGCTGTTTTATCAAATTACCTTTTATTTCGTAGTCTCCCTGTGTTCATGCTTTGCAGTATTTTGTTTATATTTACATAACTTCCCCAAAGCAGTTTTATTTGATCAGAATACAGTAGGGTTGTTATGGAGAGCAATGAAAAGATTTTTTAACATCATTTTAATATTGAATTATCCATGACTGAGGACAATTTGTTTCTTTTGTCAAAGTCTTGTGCCTTGAAGCAAAGTATACTCAACATGTCCTGGAGAAAGTAGTAAAAGGTCAAAGAAGCAAATTGGGTTTAAGTAGGAAATTGGTGAAGGAAAAGTTTTTTGTCACATAAATATGCAGTTTTTTAGAAGTATAGTTCTGGGGTGAGTGTAATATTAGTTTAAGAATATTATTAATATATCATTCTGAACTTCTAGCAGGAAGAAGGAACAGTGCCAATTTTGCAGTGGAGCAACTTTGACAGTATATTTTGAAAATTTGACGCTGCGCCTTTCGGTCCGCTTTGCGGCATCGACTCGGTTTCCAAGTCTTCTCTCGGCGTCGCATCTGCCGTGTTTTAGGTCCTGTGGCTGGGACTGAACGTGCTCCTGTTCGCGACAACCTTCCTCTCCTACAGCGGGGACGAGGCCTACACCTACACCCGGGCCATGCTGGGGGTGAGTACAGCCTCGCACAGCGCCGAGCGAGAGCCCTCGGGGGCGGGTGTAAGGTCGCCGTCAGCTCTCACGGATTTTCCCTGTGCCCGCAGTCTGGCCTGGCCTGGGCCCGCGCCTCGGCGGCCTGCATCAATCTGAACGGCACGGCGATCCTGCTGCCCGTCAGCCGCAATTTCATCTCCTTCCTGCGGGGCTCCTGCGTTGTAAGTGGCACCGCGCGGCCTCTCCTCCTCTTCCCCCCTGGGGGGTCGCGGAAAGCGCCCTTCCGCCCCCTCTCCCTCTTCACCCTTCTCTCCCTGTTCCTCTTCCCCAAGTGTCGCGGAAGAGCTCTGAGGAAGCAGCTGGACAAGAACATCACTTTCCACCGCCTGGTCGCCTACCTCCTAGCCGCGCACTCGGGTAAGGAGGGCCATCCGAGCAGAACGGGGATTGTGCGAACTTTCTGAAGCCTGTCGTGGTCGTGGTCGTGGTCTCCCCCAGAATTCACTGTTCGTTCTCCACGAAGCGACCGTAAGACGGCAAACCTCTCGTTTTGTAGTGGTCCACACTGTGGCACATCTGTCCAACATCGAGAGCTATCACGAGAGTCGGGCAACGGGGGCCGGCGAGCTGCTGCTGAAGCTCTCCAGCCTGGGGGAGACGCTCAACGAGACCTTCCTGAACCCAGTGCGCACCTACAATACGGTGAGTGGACTGGGCAGCCCGCATTTCACGATCCCTCCCCCCTTCCCCGTCTGTCTTTATACCATTATAACCCCCCCCTGCAGGGAATCAGCTGCGGAGCTTGTCGCTTTGCAGCTTCTGGGAAAACCGGCTAGCGTTTCGTCCCCAAGAGCGACAGTACTGACCGCACACCCGGTGCTCAGGGTGGGGCTGCTTAGGATGAGGAAGCCGGCGATGCTGTGGATGTAAACAAGCTTTGTTGCCCCTGTCCGGCTTCTGTCCCAACCTTCCAAAATAAACAAGACTTGTGCAGCAGAAATGGCTCCGGATAACTGGTGTGCGAAAGTCAAAGCACAGTGGAAAAATAGCAGGAGATTTCATTTTCGGATTTAGATCTAACGAGTAATCTTTGTGAAGGCCTGGGAACCTATAATCAATAATAACATTCCTATGTGAAATAAATGATGTTTGACTTAATTTCACTGTGAGAGGTGCTTCAATTTCTTTCCCCGTCTGACTTCATTTCTGTGTTTTGTTTCCTAGACTCCTATTAAAGAAGTGATGACAAATATATCTGGAATCTCTGGATTGGTTATTGCTGTAGTTCTGGTCCTCATGGCGACTTCGTCAACTGAGCTCGTTAGACGATCGTCCTATGAGCTGTTCTGGTTGACTCATCACCTCTTTGTTGTGTTTTTCATTGGACTTGTCGTCCATGGCACGGGGTAAGAGTCCACAACAGAGAAGCTTTTGTTTTAGGAGTAATACCTCGAGAGGACTTGTGTAAATGGAATTATTTCGTGTTTGCTCAAATTAAAATGATAAAAACATTGGTATTTCATGCTGGCGGCGCAGTGGTTAGCATTGGTGCCTCACAGCGCTGGGGCCCCGTGTACAGTTCCTGGGGTGCTGTCTGTGTGGAGTTTGCATGTTCTCCACGTGTTTGTGTGGGGCTCCTCCCACAGTCAGGAGACATACTGGTAGGTCAGTTGGCTTCTGGGAGAATTGTGAGTGTGTGCCCTGCACTGTACTGGTGTCCTGTCCTGCCTGTTGCTTTCTGAGATCGGACTCCAAGGCCACCCTGTTTTGGACAAAGTGGTCAGGAATTGGTATTTCATACTGTACATTTCAGCTTAGTCTTTATCCCAGTTTTGTTGGCGATGTACAATAGCAGACCGGGGGAGGTCAAGAAGCAGGAGCCTCAGTCTTGCTCCACGTGGGACAGAATAGACACCGCAGCGTATCCAGTCCACCTGCCAGTGTGTCTCTGGGAGGAGGCAGGAAACCAAACATGCAGACTCCACACAGAGAGTGCCCCGGCCCGGAAACAAACCCAGGAGGCTCGAGCTGCGGGGCAGCAAGGTTAATCCCTTCCCTGCTGGGAGTCCTCTGCGCTCCAGAAAATGTAAAGAGTTTCCCTCAGGAAAAACCAGCACAGGTAATGACAAGAATGTCTTCCTCTTCAGCTGGACACAAGAAGGAAGCGATTTTTCTGACTGCTGGCTGCAGGGTAGGGGACGTGCTGTGTACAGTGGGGCTGAAATACCTGCTTCTTTCTTCTTTGTCTGTTTTTCCCCCTGTATGTCAGTCAAATTGTCCGGGGACAGACCAGAGAGAGCCTCTCACGCCACAATGTGTCCTACTGCCGGGACCATGTGGATGAGTGGGGGAACGTCACCCAGTGTCCGGTGCCACGCTTCGCCGGGAACAGTCCCGCGGTGAGGCCGCCGGCTCGTATTGCGTTTTGGTATAGGTATAGGTATTTGGTATAGGGGGCCGTCGTGCGGAGCGGGCCGCAGCGGGGTCCTGATCTCAGAACAGGTGATCGCACTGAGGGTGACGTGCAGCCTGAGAAC